AACATCTATTTATAAAAATAAAGGGGGGTCTGTCTTTTTTTTCTGGGTTTTTTTTTTTTTTTTTTTTTTTTGTCTGATTGATGCTTGCTGCAGTCACCCATGTCTGAAGTTGCCAGATTGTGGACAGGATAGGAGACACGTACAGTATTGTGTTTCTTACCATCTGAGCCTGGTCTAACTTGCTTTGTTGTTGCCACAATCAGTCTGTCTGGGGGATTCTATCCAAATGAGGGTGTCAAAATGACCACAGCCTCCAGGTGAAGGAAATCTCTAGCTAATTCATTAGCTGAATATACCAGATGTCAGAGCTCTAACCTATGTCTCCTGGGAACCTGAGAACATTTTCTTGAGCACAGGCTCCTAATGCCTGACAGGGACTTCTCTGTTTTCTTGAAGAAAGATTTCCCTGGGCACGATGGTGCATGCCTGTAATTCCAGCACTTAGGAAAGCTGAGGCAGGAGGATTGCAAGTTTGAGCCCAGCCCAGGCAATTTAGTGACTTAGCAAGACTTATCTAAAAATTTAAAAATAAAACAAAAGGGACTAGCCTAGTGCAAACACCCTGGACTCAGTGCTCCATACAAAAAACAAAAACAAAAAATGATTACCCCATTGTCAGAATCTGTTTTACTTGTACAACAAAAGCTGACAGTGCCTGGGAAGTTGCCTAAGAAAAGCTAGAATTTCCTGGGAATTTGTGCTTCAGGCCATTTCTTCTTTCTCAATACCAGGGATCAAACTCAAGACCTTGTGCTTGCAAGGCAGGCATTGTGCCACTGAACCAGATCCCCAGCCCTCAAGCCAATCTATAACCAAAGACTTCTGGCTACAGGGGTAAATATCCTAGTTCACCTGTCCCTGCTTGGCACCACTCAGAGATGTGAGTTACTCTGTCTCCAGAACGTTGAACAGATGTTACCCTCCTGTTTCTTTTTACTTCTCCTCTGGATCCCACTTTCCCATTTTTTTAACCAGTTTTTCCCAGCAGAACGTTTTCTGTTAAGACACTTTCACACGAATCTCCAGCGTTTGCTACCAGGGAACCCAACCTAAAACAGTGGCCGTGTTTTACTTGGTGTGTTCTCTACCTGTATCTAGCATTCCTCAGCAGTGACTGATTAGACCACAAGTGAACACCCACATCAAAGCTGCCTATCTGTGTGTTGACCAGCAAACTGGTGACTCAGCACAACAGCCAATCTAAGCAGATCCTCTTGAGAAGTTTGATCTTGAGTTATACTGTGTGTGAATCATGCTATTTTATGTTGCAGAACTCTAGTTGAGATTCCTAGACTTGATCTGGCAGGGAATAACAAGATAATCCTGCCACCAAGGCCCCATTGTATCCTGAATGACTTTCGAACATCCAGGCATCTTCCTTTTTTCTATGAATTTCTTTCTTATATTTCTTGTCACATAAGGTAGTTCATTGTATCTGGTTTTCAAAATGCCTTAAATATAAACTAGGAATCACCTCATGGATGGACCGAATCTTCTGGTCACTCACTGAAAATTCTTCAGGGAAAGGGTCCTGAAAATTATCAAGAAGGCAATGATTCGAGGAGAAGCAACATGGAGACAAATTCGTATTCGGAGAAGCTGGACAGTGAAGATGCTTGAAATCTGGAAAGAAAGTAGAGTAGTATGGCTGGCTTGAGCTAGGAAAAGCAGCTGAATACTTCTTTGTCCTCCATATTCCCTTGTTGTAGGCTAGATGTGACTACCAAGTTGGAAAGGAGATAGAAGAGCAGTGGAAAGACCAGAACCCAAGAGTTAAAGAAACTTTGTATTTTATAGTTAAAGAAACTATAAAACTAAGCATGTTGAGTCCTTTGGCTGAGTTGCCATATGAACCCTTGGGTGCCTTTTTCTGGAGAAAGTGGTTTCACTAGATTAAAGGGGAGCTACTGGCATAGTCCATCTCACTAATGACTAAACAAGATGGAAATTCAGGTCAGACATCTCTGTCCAGAAGAGGAGGAGGAGGCTAGGGAAGGTGTACAGCAGAGGTACAAATTTACCAACCCTATTGAAAATGGAAAGCCCACATTTTCTTTAAAAATAAGCAAATGCAAAAAAGTGCAATTCATGTTTCTCTGGAATCAACCTCATCTCCCCCAACCCCACTCCACACTTTCCTAAAATGCTTATAAAAATTCTAAGTGCTTCTCAATGGTCAGTAATTGGCTCATTAGCATCTACGCAGACATCTCTCCTCTGCTAGAGCATCCTCAAGTGTACAGCATGATACATCCGCATTGCCCAGAGGACTTCTTAAATGGGAATGTCAGTGTCTCAACCCAAGAGTACCTTAATTCAGTTAGCCAAGAGTGGCTGGGGAGGAGCCCAGGGAGCTGTATGAGTTTTATCACAAAGGAAAAGTTTATTTGGATCTAAGCAATGGTACTGGGTCTTACATTTTATTCATATGGACATGGGTGAACATCAGCCTTGATTTTTCAAAAGCAAAGAAGCCAACTGATTTCCTTTGATATGGATATATATGCACATAACTCTGTAAATAGTTACCATTAGTTTGATTGCGAATGGGACTTTTTAAATAGTTATTTATATATACTCTGGTTTCTCTTCAGATCATATAAATCTTTCGCCTTTTAAATAGTTATTTATAGGTTTGATTTATGTTTACACGTTTTAAAATGTGCATAAGAAAACCTTCAAATCGCTCCTATTTTTCCCTCATCTGCTTCATGGAGCACACAGTCTTTGCAAAGAAATTTAAGACAACCGAAGTCAGTGGAATAGCAGGAAAAGATAATTGAAAAGATCTTAATAGCTTCCAGTCCAACTCCCTTTTTTAGATGAGGAAGCCAAGGACAAGTTTAATTGATTGCCCAAAGTCACACAAGTGGCAACTGTCTCTAATATCCTTTTGTCTCTCTCTTATAACCAAGAGTCAAGGCTTGAGTAATCACTTTGGAGCTTTATTTCTGATGCTACTTTGCAAACAGCACTTCTAGCCACACTGAGCAGAGGTGGGGATAGTGACCCTGAAATCATTCTTCCTAGGCAGCTCCATCTCTCCTTTGCTTGAGCAGACCCTGGCTACAAATTATCCTTCCACCACCGCCTGAGGAAGAGATGTGACAATTAAAGGTGAAAACAAAATAAAAGCCAAAATGTGAATTTTATCATCCTTAAAATACCCTAATATTTTCTCACTTACCTTAATCTCTGGGGCCCTCTTACACATTGTCTGCTGAGAATATATATAGTTTGGAAGTACTGGCAGCAAAGGCCCACGTATTAAAGGCTTGGTCACCGGCCTAATGTGCTGTTGGTGGCTGATAGAACCTTTAGGGGGAGGACCTAGTTGAAGGAAGCTGGATCATTTGGAGTGTGCACGTGAAGGGGATATTTGACCTAGGTCCCTTCATCTCCATCTCTTTGTTTTGTGGCGCTCCTGCCACAAATACTGTGCTACCACAAACTCAGAGCAATAGGGCCGAGTGACCATGAATGGAAACCTCTGAGAGTATGAACCAAGATAAACCTTGCTTTATATGTCTACGTATACACCTGTATATACACACACACATATACCTGCATAGTTTTACCTCTGTACAAGTTATATGTCTGAGTTCAAAGTGAGAGTAATAAACTTTACACTATATTATCTCTTTTATTCATTGAGTTTATTGGTACTTTTTAAGAATACAGTACAGGTACACTCATCATCGGGATCTTGTACCTTTACCTGACAGATCTTGGTTCTTATTTTTTCACCATACCCCTGCCCGCCCTTCACCCCCCCATTTATATTATCTCTTCTCATCTCATTTAACACAACCTTTAGATTATCGTCTGGTTAAAAAAACCAAAGAAACACATAGAATGATGTTCTGACCTATAGGCAGTCCTGCACTCTTTCTCTGCTCTTAGGGACAGGAAGCGCTACGCGTGGCTGCCCACAGCTGAAGCATCATCCCACTGTCTTCCACTCCACACTTTAAAGTCACCCGCGCCCTGCGCTCTGCCGAGAGTCTACGCCGTGGCTGTCCTCGTGAGACAAGGCTGGGTGTGTTTGCACACACTGCCAAGTGTCAGAGCACCCAGCACCCACGCTTGAAGGGATGCAAGTGATGTGTGGGTTCCTCCTGATCGTGTCCTTTGCTGCCAGCTTTGGACAGCTTCTTCCACAAACCCCAAGCTGTCGAATGAGCACTTCCTTTGCTCTATAAGCTGTGGTTTGGAAAGGGTTAAAAAGAGCTACTCTGTTCACACATCTGCTAAGCAGTTCTGAGGACCACAGCCACCCTCTGTGACAGCTTCCCATCCCCTATATGGGGTCCCCACCCTGCTCTGGGTCTGCGTGCTCTAGCTAAAAGGCTGACAGCCAATGCTACCATTGGCAACCCAGGGCCTGTTGAGAAAATGGTGGACTCAGTAATGACACAGACTCAATTACTAGGTTGGTTTTGCTCCATACTGAAGAACTTATTGAGCTATTAGCTTCACTGAGACTCAGAGAATTATCTATAAAATTGGAATAACGGCATGCACTTCATAGATGGGTTATGCAAATTAAATTAGAGCACAGGTAAAATAATATCTTCTTTCCATAGAGCACATTTTCATTTCTGTGGCACAAGAGAAGGATAACTGGAGGGCTGTGTGTAAAACTCCACAGCCACACACGATAGTTATTTAGTCCCAAGCTCCTCCTCCCATAGCTATGGTGTAAGGGAAGCAATGTATTATCCTGCAGCAGAAACAAGGCAAGAAAGAACTTAATTATACA